ACTTCAGGGACTGACTCTGAGCTGGATGGTCACAGCCAGTGTACTGTGCATGTAAATAAAGGGTGACTTGGTGATGGGACACTGGCCTCTGTGCAGTTATCTCAGGTATTGATGTGATCACCTTGATAATAGGAAAAAAATTCTTACCTTATGTTATGAACCATGCAGTCTTAGAGAGATGGTGAACTTCTCTAGCCTTGGTGTTAACAGCATAGTATCTCATTAGGATGTGATTACCTGTGCCTGAGTGTGACATGGAGGCAGTTTCAATCGAAGAGGGAGTTTGACATGAAAATGAAGAACGTACAGGGTTGTAGGGAGGTGGTGGAGAAATGATACTCGGTGAATCGCTCATTCAGAGATAGTGATGACATGAAGGGCTGAATGGTTTCCTACTGTGCTGTAACAATTCCACAAAACTTCAATGATTGTGAAATGGTCTGGGACATTGTGAAGTTGTGAAAAGTAGTACAAGTTGAAATGTTTCATTAGTCTAATCACCTTAGAGCAGCAGTCAGCAAAGAGTCATCTTCCAAGGCAGAGCCAAGGGACTGGGGATAAATCCAGTGTTGGAACTGCACACTCTGCTGTACATCAGGCAGGGACTTGCTCAACAGGGATGTCTGGCCTTTTCAACATTGTTGATACCCTCAAAATGGCTGGCACCTTTACACCTGCTTCTTCCCCGTTTGAGCAATCTTGGGCAACAGATGCTTATGACCCTGTAGGAATGTCACATTTTTTTAAGGATGTTTTGACGATATCCTTAAAGCATTTTCTCTGCTATCCTAGTACATGTTTGCCAAGCTAGGAGTAGCGAGCTAGTTTTGGAATCTCGTGCCAGGCATGAGGATGATATGTCTGTCCAGAGTGACCATGATCAGGGCACTGAGCTCAATGGATCATATTGAATGGTGGAGCAAGTCCAAGGGGCTGAATGGCCTACTGCTGCTCCTATCTTCTATGTTTCTTTGATCATAACCAGGGCCTTGATACTGCAGAGTAAAGGTTGAATAATTCACCTGCACAGCATCACAATGGGAATCCTGGCCCGATGAAAAGCAGAAGTTGAGTTACCACCTCCTAGAAGTGATCTGCAGTCTCTGGGAAACAACGTTTAATTATCAGGACACTGGTGTCAATCACCCAAGAAAAAGGTCACAAAAACATTAAAAATATTGGGCCGCAAGAGCAGTAAAGGTGAAAGATTCACCCCCATTGCATGTCATAGAATCATCACAGAATCCCTACAGTGTGGAAACAGGCCCTTTGGCCCAACAAGTCCACACCGAACCTCAGACATCCCACCACATCTACGCAACCCTGAACACTATGGGCAATTTAACATGGCCAATCCACCTAACCTGCACATCTTTGGGCTGTTGGAGGAAACTCATGCAGACACAGGGAGAATGTGCAAACTCCACACAGACAGTTGCCTGAGGGTGGAATCGAACCTGGGTTCCTGGCGCTGTGAGGCAGCAGTGCTAACCACTGAGCCATCGTGCCGCCCTAGTAGAAGTCCTGGGACCACTTGGGAAGGTGAAACGTCTGATGAGGTGATTTGCTGTGGCTGTGACATTAAGGGAATGTCTCTGACACTGAGTTCATGGTCAGTGAATTGGGGGGATGCACAGTACTTCCCTAGATAAACTCCTCTGATACATTGCTGGTGTAAGTCAGTGGTGAAAGGCAGAACGCAAACCTCACCCATAACTGCCAGCCCTGACATGGTTAGCAATTACCCACTGCCCCTTCCACCGGGCCTCACAATTCCTGTACTCCCTCAACCTGAATACCCAACTCCAACTTGACCACTCATCGTACATTTCCACCCCCCCCGACCCACAACCTGACCATCCATTATCTTGACCCTCATGCAACATGTCTATCCATCCACTCCCCACTTGATCCAACTACACTCAACCTGACTAACCAGGACCTTAACAGCCCCCAAACTGAGCACCCATCCCCCAAGATCCTTCAACCTGGCTACACACTCTCCAAAATCTCTTGCCCTGATTACCCTCTCACACCTTTTCAAACACTCAGCCACTCACTCATCCACTAACTCACTCACCCACTGACTCAACCCACCCACCACCTCAATCACCCACTCACTGACTAGCCCACCCATTGACTCACTTATCCACTCACTGACTCACTCACCCATCAACTTACCCATGCAGCCAACCACTAATTCGCTCACTCATTCACTGACACAGTACATCTCCCGTGCTCTCATTCACTGAAACCCTTCCAAGCCATTAAAAATTTACCTGAATCCAGAAGCCTGGGACAAATTCCCGACTGTTTCCCAGGGGTTGATTAGCCAAGATCATATTGAATGGCAGAGCAGACTCAAAGAGCCGAATGGCCTACTCCTGTTCCTATTTTTGATGTTTTCCCATGGATGGCCATGTTATAGAGTCATAGAGTCATACAGCATGGAAACAGGCCCTTTGGTCCACAGAGTCCATGCCAAACATAACCCCAAACTAAACTAGTCCCACCTGCCTTTCCTGGCCCATATCCCTCCAAACCTTTGCTATTCATATATCCATCCAAATGTCTTTTAAACATTGTAATTGTACCCGCATCCATCACTTCATCAGGAAGTCCATTCCACACGAAAACCACTCTCTGTGTAAAAAATTACCTCATATCTTTTTTTCAATCTCTCTCACCACTGCAACTAAGAGGTGCTGAACTAGTTTGAGGATGTGCAACGTTTGGGTCACAATTCTCATTCTAATCAGTGGCATAATCCCCAGTATTGCTGGTAGTGGGAAGACCTGGTACACTGTGAGCTTTTCAGTTTCTGTTTATCAATTCTGAATGCTGGAGATGAGGGAGCCGTGGCTCTTTGAGTGGCAATTCCAGAGTCATCCAATAGGATAGCAAAGAGCCAATTTACTTCCTGATTGACTGTATGAAGGTGGGATTCCATGGGGATGGGTGTGTGGGTGACCAATGGCTAGGGCGGTGGATCCAGGACAGATAGAGGTCAGAGGTCATGGGATAATACCTCCAGGGATATGTCCACCCAGAGTCAGGGGCCTTCAGTGTGGGCGTGACTGGCTAGGCCAGCATTTATTGCCCATCCTTAATTGGCAAGGGGATAGTTAAGAGTCAACCCTATTGCTGTGGATCTGGAGTCACATGGAGGTCAGACCAGGTAAGGATCATAGAATTCCTACAGTATGGAAGCAGGCCATTTGGCCCATTGAGTGCAAACCACCCCTCCAAAGACTACTGCATCCAGATCCCTAACCTATCCCTGCATTTTCCCATGGCTAATCCACATAGCCCACACAACCCTGGACACTACGGGCAATTTAGCATGGCCAATTCACCCTTACCTGCACATCTTTGGACTGTGGGAGGAAACCCACGCAGACACAGGGAGAACATGCAAACTCCACATAGACAGTCACCCGAGGCTGGAATTGAACCCAGGTCCCTGGCGCTGTGAGGCAGCAGTGCTAACTGCTGAGCCACCGTGCCAATGGAAGAGTTCCCTTCCTAAAGTATGTTAGATGAGTTTTTCCGACAATCAACAATGGATCCATGGTCATCATCAGACTCTTAATTCCAGTGAAGGTGAAGGAGTGGCTGATTTAAACAGGATGCAAACTTCAAGTGTCAGACGGCAGAGATCGTTACTGAGAGAACTAACAACAGAAACTGGTCATGTTTTACTTTTATTAAAACAATTGCTAATGCACTGACAACCAGCACATCGATATTCAATTTTTAAGAAATTAACAAATGTACAAAAAATTTCCATAAACGAGAAAATACACTATTTGTTGCCTAAAGGTACGCGAGTTCATCACTTCCCAGTCTGTAGCAGAAATCCCTTTTCAAGTGCAACGGGTAATTGTAGGGATCAAATCTGGTGAACGATAAAGTGTTGCCAGGAGCACAGCAACCACAAAGGCAACACTCCCTGGAAAATGCTCCTCTCTTAGATCCTGTGTGCTCTAGACATCAGGACTAAATTCAGAGCAAGCTGATTCATATTGTGCTTCCTGGACCACTGAGACCAGGCAGACATACAAAGCCAGTTAGGTGCACAAAGTATATCCCATAGTACCAGGCAGAGTGAAATCTGTAATTCAAATAAGCATTGCTTGTTTATTCACACTTCTGATTCCAATATAATTCTAGCTGCATGTAGAGTCAGGGAAAATGAGTTTTTGCATTTGTCATTCTGATTTAACATCATTTTCTTGCAACCCATCTCTGTTCAAATATTTTCTTGTTATACTTTTTAAACTTTTTTTTATTCCCTGCTGCCTACACTAGATTCGGCTGCCATTATAGGACAGTCTGAGTCTTAATATCAGAGGTATCCAGTGAATTGGTGTTCAACGAAAGTCTGCTGCATCTCTCGAGAGTCATCTCTGAGCGTCTCCACTTCCTCAGCCCCTCTCTCATGACAGAGCCTGACCGACTGCTGCAGGATTAGTGTATCAGGCAACGTGGTTGAGAATGGTTTGTATACCGAAGCCAATCAGGCTTTTAGAAAAGAGAAATAAAATCCAAATTTGTTTCACTTGATCAATGACCTTCCGTTCATCATGAGGTCAGAAGTGGGGAAGTTCGCTGGTGATTGCACAATGTTCAGCACCATTCCTGATTCCTTATGTAGCAAAACAGTCCATGCCCATATTCAACACGAACTGGACGTGAGTAGGTTTGGGCTGATAAGTAGCAAACAACATTTATGCCACACCAGTACCAGGCAATGACAACCTGCAACAGCAAAAAAAAGCTAACCATCATCCCTTGACGTTCAATGGAATTACCATCGCTGAAACGCTCCCCATCAACATTTTGGGGGTTACCACTGACCAGAAGCTGAACTGGACCAGCCATACAAACATATTGGTTATAAAAGGTAACTCACGTCCTGACTCCCCAGAACCATCTACAAAATAAAAGTCAGGAGTGAGATGGAATATTCCCCACTTCTCTGGATGAGTGCAGCTCCAACAACGCTCAAGAAGCTTGACACTATCCAGGACAAGGTAGCCTGCTTGATTGGCACCACATCCATCACCTTCCACATTCGCTCTGTCCCCCTCGGGTGCACAGCAGTGTGTGCGATCTACAAAGATGCACTGCAGCAACTCACCGAGACACCTCTCACAGCACCTTCCAAACCTGTGACCTCTACCACTGAGGACAAGGCCAGCAAATACATGGCAATATTACACGCCTGTGACTTTCTCTCCAAGCCACTCGCCATCCTGACTTGGAAATATATTGCCATTCCTTCAGTGTTGCTGGGTCAAAATCATGGAATTCCCTCCCTAAGGGCAGATTGCAGCAGCTCACCTCCCCACCGCGACCCTCTGAAGGGCAAGTAGGGATAGGCAATTTTAAAAAAAGCCTGCCTTAAATTGTCGCTGATGCTCAACGAATCGGAGCAAAACAAACCTGGGGCCCTGTGGAGGGTGGGGTTACAGCTGAAAGCTGTGAACTGCTTGTGTATTCCGACACAGTTAGAGCCTGGGTTGGGAGGGGATATTGGTTTGTTGGACATGCCACATTGTCAGTCTGTGCGATTCTTTTATATACAGAAGGGCTGCCTTTTTGACAATGTAGTGATTAAACCAGGGAGGAAAGAGGAAGCTCGACAGTCTGCTGGGTTATAACAGGGCAGCTGGGTGACATCTCAGACTGGAAAGGAGCCTGCTCGCTGTGTGACTGAAGCAGTGGCCTGATTAATAAGTGCTGCGCTTGTGCACGTATTTACAATGCGTTCCAAAAAAAGAAAAAGCAAATTCCAAATGTAGGTCAATCCCATTCCGATTGAAGACTGTATCCGCCTGAGAGCGGGGGGGGGGGGTGGGGGGTGCGATATCATTGCTCAGTGCTTGAGCAGTGTTTAGTATTACACAGGCAGGATCTAACCCCCTTTCTGAGACTGAGACTGAGCCACATTAATGTCTTATTTTCTGCTCTTGTCCCCTGACAGGTGAATAAAGACACAAGTAAATCAAGTTAATATTTCACTGTTTCTCCCACGTGACCATCTAGTCACAGCTATTGTCTTTCATGGTGTGATTAAAGCTGGTAAAAGGTCTAAAGGTGATTTGTCCTGATAATGGGCTCTTCAGACCAATATGGAGAGAGTTCCACATTGACATGGTTAGTCACTGTCCAAGAAGCTCCCCATTGCTGGCTACAAGAAATCTTCAGCACTCTCCGAGCCTCCGTACAGATCGGCCAGCTTCTTGAACCGAGGGCCCCAGTCGGTGAGATAATCATAATTGAGGTCTGAGTCTGTTGAGGCTGACTCGAAGGAGCTCAGCGATTCTGCCACTGAGCCATTCCCTTCAAACGCGTAAGTCTGCAAAGAATCGAAAGGAGGGGCACTTGGATCCGTGTTGGCATCGTCTAACTTTGCCAGGATGTAGCTGTTCACATTGCTGCCTCCCACTCTGGACTGTGACACGTATCTGGAGACACTCTGGATTTCGGGAAGCATATCCCTCCTGGATTTCGACATCTGGACTTCTCTGGGATTCCACAAGGCAGCAATGTCGAAGGCCTCGGTGTCCTCTTCACCACCACCTTCGTCGTCGTATCGGACAATATTTTCATGGACATTCTCCTCATCGTCGACAATCAGGGAATTCTTCTTGTGCCTTCTCAATGTTAGAACAAACAACACCAAGACTGAAAGGAAAGTACAACAAATGGTGTACATTAGCGGAGATTAGGCTAAAGTTCTTGCATTAGCTACAGGGTGGTCCGTACTGAGATTTCTATTGGATCTAAAAGGTGGGCAGAGCGTACTAATCTCAGGTGATTGGGAGCTACTGTATGAAATTATTTGGATGAGAATAGAGGAGGCCAAGGTTGGCGGTATAATAAACAGTGAAGAAGATATCTAAGATTACAAAGAGATCTTGATCAATTGGGTCAATGGGCTGACGAGTGGCAGATGGAGTTTAATTTGTATAAATGTAAGGCTTTGCATTTTGGTAAAACAAAGTGTCGTGACCCTCTGTGATGGAGGGATTTCCACTTCTACTGCAGCAAAATCAGTCCTAAAGGCCTGTAAACTTAAACCTCCAGCGCTCTCTTGGTACTAGATAAAGCACAGCCTGAAGAATTCAGTGGTAGGTGACAGACTCACATGTGAGGCACAGGCAAAGCAACAGTGGAGTGTTCCCACAGTTGTGGAGATGTCACATCGCAGATAATGAAGCCTGTATTTTGTAACATTGTTGATGGAGGTGGGCAGGGGTGGTCACTGAAAACCTTTAGGATAGAGGGAGATAGATTCTTGGTGAAGGAGGGAGTCAAAGTTATGGGGATGGGGGGTAGGTGGGAATGTGAAGTTGAAGACACATCGCATCAGCCAGTTGCTGAGACAAGCTCAAGGGGCTGAATGGCCTACTCCTGGTCTTAATTTCTAGGTCTGTAAGTAGACCATTTTCTTATTGACCTTGTTGACGTATATATAATCTTGAGGGGATGTGACAGGGTGGATGCTGACAGGATGCTTCCTGTGGTGGGAGAGACTAGAACAAGGGACACAATGTAAAAATACAGGATCTCCAACTAAAGGCGGAGAATGAGGAGAACAGTTTCCTCTCTCAGCAACATTAATTGGTGGAATTCTCTTTCACAGAGAGCAGTGGAAACGGGGTCACTGAATATGCTCAAGGCCAAGTTAGACAGATAGGAACAGGAGCAGGCCATTCAGCCCTTCGAGTCTGCCCTGCCTCCAGTACAATGGGGGCTGATTGAACATTTCAGTGCCTCACTCTGAAGAAAAGTTAGACCAGACTGGAAACGGTAAGTCTATTTCTCTCCACTGATGTTGCCAGACCTGCTGAATTTCTCCAGCACGTTCTCTGTTTCAATGTCTTTTACCCACCTCCACCCCCATCCCCATAATCCTGTGCGTCATTGCTAATTCTTGACTAACAAGGCAGTCAAAGGTTGTCAGGGAAAGACAGGAAGGTAGAATTGAGGCCACAATTTGATCAGCCTCAAATGGTGAAGGAAGCTACTGGGCCGAATGGCCTACTCCTGCTCATATTTTGTACGTTCATTGTCTATAACATGGACGGCTTCATGATCTGGCACTTTCAAGCCTTGTATTGATTCTAGGCTCACTGGTTTTAATGAATAGAAATCAATGAGTTTATCAGTTCCTGTACTGTTGCTTTGTAGCCAAAATGAGGGGCTACAGAGTCACCTTCTCGCAGCCAAGTGGCGCAAGGATCAACTTTCCTGCTCCTGTGAAGCTGCCTGGCCTGCTGTGTTCCTCCAGCTCCACACTCAATGAATACTTGCCTCAATCAGGGAGGCAGTCCCACTGAAACAGGGACCAATCAGGGAGGCAGTCCCACTGAAACAGGGACCAATCAGGGAGGGAGACCCATTGAAACAGGGACCAATCAGGGAGGCAGT